TGGTACGAGTTTGGCTCTTAACTTAACAGCAAAAAAATGTACTTTCTCGAGTAAAACGTTGAGTTTGAAAATGGACGTCATCTGTGACGAAGTGTTTTTGTACAGCACCACTGTGTATTCAGAAAAATTGATTGTAAATAAAAAGATTAACTTTATGACACAAACGACTTCTCCTATTTTCAATGGGGAAATATCGATGAGCGGAAATGAAGTTGTGATCCCCTCGAAAAGTCAATGTTTTGATTTCTCTTATTCAACAACAGAAATCTCATTTCCAAACATCCAGACTAATGAAGTTTCTACACTCTTTCTGTTAAATAATAAATTGGTCAGGTTTTGCCCTATCAAGTCCATGAACAACACTGTAGTTTGTACAATGAACACAGATGGATCTTTCACAGACACACTCTGCCCTTGTGTCTCAGACAATAACACCGATTGTGTTATTCAAATCAACTATTTATCATTGACAAGTTTGCAGTTGGATAAATACAACCCATCCAGATTTTTTATCGAAAATAGAGACTCAACTTTTTCGAGTAAAAAGGCAGCGAACGTCAACGCGTGGAGTGCTATAAAAATTGGTGGAAATTCCATTTTCAATTTTTTGGAAGGATTGTCCAATTTTTTTGTAGGCGTGGATAAAGGAACTACCCTCTTTTTAACATCGCAGTTCTATCTCTTTGATGACAAAAGCACTTTCTTCGATACAGAAATTGAAGTCACGACGTCTTCGATCAAAACCAATAAAATGGCTGAAAAAACGATATTGTGCCAATCGCTTTTGGTACAAAACTCAAAATTACAATGTATAAAATGTGAAAGTGGATATTACGAGTTTGGGACGGTTGGGTGTATGCAAGAGAGCAACACTGCGAATTGCCAAACGTATGATAATAAAGGGAAATGTGCATATTGTAAAATACAGTACTACCTTGACCCGATTAATCTTATTTGTAAAGACTGCCCAAATTATTGCCTACGATGTAATGATACAACATGTTTATTATGTGATCAAAATTACATTTTAAGTGGGGGAAAATGCTTGAGTAAATCAAGTCAATGCCAAAATTCTTTTCATGACAGATGCACAAAATGCGAAGTAGGGAAGTCAATCAATTCAAACGGAGTTTGTATCAATTGTGGTACGACGTGCGATTCATGTTCATCTTCCGATAAGTGTAATTTGTGTAAAAAGGGATTTGGAGTATTAGCACAAAACAAAACATGTGGAAAGGAAAGTTCGGTTTTATACACGTCAAACAACAATGCGATTTCATGTTACTCGAATTTTGTATTGGAAAACTCCACGTGTATTTTGTGTTCAGAAAAATATCCGAATTGTATGGTTTGTGATATGAATAATTGCCTTGTGTGCCAAACAAACTTTATATTTACGGGTTCAAACCAAAAATGTGTATCAAAAGAAAGTGCACATTGCAACGCAATTTCTAACTCAATTTGTATTTCATGTGAACAAAAGTTTTATTTGGAGGAAGAAAACTGTTCACCATGTGGAGAAAATTGTGATGTTTGTCGAAACAATTCTCTGTGTTCGATTTGTACATCACCTTATTACAACCACAATGGAATATGCGAAGAAAATAAACGTGACAATTGTAACACAGAGGGAGAGGCATCATGCTTGCGCTGTGAGGATTCTTTTTACTTTGACGACCAAAGTACACCAATGTCATCGAACTGTACCAAGTGTAGTCCAAATTGTTTGACATGCACAACTTATTCTCGTTGTTTGAGTTGTTCAGATTCACTCTTTTTGGTTGGAAACACGTGTCAAACGATGAATGAGGGATGTACTAAAGCGATGATATCAGGTGGCGGTTGTGCAATATGTGAAAATGGATATTACCGTGATGGTATTGAGTGCAAAAAGTGTGACGATAGTTGTAAGAGTTGCCAATACAACACTGTTTGTTACGAGTGTTCCGATAATTATTTCTGGGCAACGTCAACATCCTGCAAGAATTATTCATATTTGACAAATTGTGTATCTGGTAAAGAAAGCGTAAATGGGTGTACACAATGTCTCGATGGTTTTTATATTGCAACTCCTTTCTGCCTTTCATGTCAAGAGAATTGTTTACTTTGTGACTCAACCTTATGTACAAAGTGTGTAGACAATTATATTCTTAAAAATTCACAATGCTACGCACTCAATCAAGTTGAAAATTGTATTAAAGCGAGTGATGGACTGTGTACAATGTGTAACAAAGGGTATCAACTTAACACTGAAAAAAATGGGTGTGTGTATCAACTTAATGTGTTTGTTATAATAGGACCGATAATCGGAGCTGTTTTGTTCATCACTATTATTTTATTGATGTTCGTTTTTGTCACATATAAATTGTATAGCAGAATACCCGCAGATGAAAGGAATAAGCAGATTCATATTTTCGATATGACAAAAACAAATGTCACGATGAAGAGTGTGAACAAAAGTTACATTGTCTCTGATAAAGAAGCAATTTTGTTTGGGTGTGAAACAATGCTTCCTGTTGGTGTCATTAGCACAGATGTTTTGAATGTAGGAAACAAATCAAAGAACACGATAAAGGTCCAGTTTGTATTCAAGCACAACATTCACTCTACAACAAAATACACCCTCAACATTTTCCCACAAGTAGTCACATTGCGGCAAAATAAAGCATGTACTTTTAATTTCCAAATCACACCGCTGTGCACAACACGGATAGATGAGGTGTTAATTCTCACTGTGAAAAACATAAGCAGTGGTGTTGAAGACAATTTTAGTTTTGAGATGAGTGGCGACACTGAAATATCAACATCAATTGACCCAGACGAATTGGTTGAGGAAAAGAAGATTGGTGAAGGAGGTTTTGGAATTATTTACAAGGGAACTTTTAGGGAGAACTGTGTTGCAATAAAGAAGATGAAAACAATAGTTGAGGATGACGAATCACTCAATGAGTTCAAAAAGGAGGTACAAATGCTTGATAAATTTAGATGTGACTACATAATCTATTTCTATGGAGCTGTTTTGATACCAAGTAGAATTTGTATGGTCACCGAATTTGCAGAGTTTGGCTCGCTTAAAGACCTGATACGAAATTTTGAAGAACCAAGCGAGAAACTGAGACTGAAATTCTGTCTGGATGCTGCGAAAGGGATCGATTATTTACACACCAACGGGATCTTGCACAGAGATATTAAACCAGATAACATACTGGTCATTAACTTAGACGAGGGTGTTGGTATAAATGCAAAGCTGACAGACTTTGGAGCGTCAAGAAATATCAACTTGTTACAAACAAATATGACTTTCACAAAGGGAATTGGAACTCCAGTGTATATGGCTCCTGAAATACTCAACAAAAAGAAGTACAAGACACCTGCAGATATTTACTCCTTTGGGGTATCAATGTATGAAATCGTGGGGTGGTGTGACGCATTTCCACAGACAGACCCAATGTTCAAGTACAGTTGGTGCATCGCCAATTTTGTGATGGACGGGAAGAGGTTGCCAAAAACTGATAACATGCACCAAGATGTATACAATATCATTGACAAAGCATGGGCATCGAACCCCAAAGAACGAACGTGTATTAAGGGGATTATAGATGAACTTGAAAAGTACTACAACACATTCAACGCTAATATCGTTGTAGTACCTCATTAAAGATATGTGTGTCTTATTCATTGTTTTGTGTTTTTGAATTAACCCTTCCAGTACCAAAAATTTCCAAAAAATGTATACTTATTTATATCTTATTCATTTTGAGTGTATATCAGAAAGAAAGAATGCAAAAAACGCTTTAAACTTTTTACAACCATGAGGAATACCAGGAAACAAAATTAATAGTAAAAAATAATTTAATTTACTACAAATTAATAGTAAATTTTAACCTAAAATCGTATTTTTGTTGAAAAAAGTGTTCACTTTTCCTGTGAGGAAAACTTGACGAAGTTTCTGGTAATTATTTTCAAGTTTATTTTTTTTCTTTTTATATCAAAAAATTGTGTATAGTATTATAAACTATACACAATAAGCATGGCTCGGTATTTTTTGATTTTTTGCACTAAAAATATTTTTGGCATTTTTTATAAAAGTTATTTAAAAACTGCCCTTATACTTACTTTTTTTATAGTATATTGAACAGTATATTTACCATTAAAGTTTATTAATTGTATATAATAAAAATATTATAATAATTTGGTTGTTTATATAGTTTATTTTATAATATGATTATAATAAATTTTAATTTCATAATAATAGTTATTTATATGATATAATAATAGTAATTAATTAATAAAATGATATAGTATATAACAAATATATTTAATTGTTTTATTTATTATACAAGTATTATAAATTTACTAAATATTTAACTTATACAAATTATTGTATAAAACCTTTGTATTATTAACATTAATAATATAAATAATATAAAATAGTACATTATATTGGATAAATAACATATAAAAAACACAAATTTAAATAAATATCAATTTTATATTAATGATTTATTATTACTATATTAATTTATTATTTTTTATTTAATTTTTAAAATGACCTTGAAGATTCATCAAAATAATTGGGCTGACAATATTTATTTGAAGTCAAAAACATACTTAAAATAATTGAGAACTGGTAACAAAAGGTTAGAAATGCGTGTCAAATAATCAAAAATATAAAAAAAATAATTAACCCTTCGAGGACTGAAAAATTTTTATTTTTTTCTTTTTTTTCAGAAAAAAAAATTCAAAAAATAATTTCACTTTTCCAAAAAAATGAAAATAATGGCGACTTTTCATGAACAATTTAGAATGATTCTTGACATATTTGATAAAATAGTTCAACTCAAATTCAAACTTTGAATTATTTATAAAACATTTCATCATTCATAAACTCAAATTAATTGATTTTGTTAAAGATTCGTCCTTCAATCAATAAAATATATAATTTAACAAATTAATATTAGTAATAAAAATAATACGAAAATAAACTGTTTTTATAAACAAATAAAAATGTTAATAAAAATTATTAAATAGTATTATCAGATATTCAAGTTTTTTAAAAAACAAAATGAAAAACACTTAAAAAGTGTGCAAGATTGTGGGTTTGATATAACCAATAAGATTGGTTCAAACCAAAATAAAATAAGAACATGACAAAAATATTATTGTTGAAATAAAAAATGGATTCCACTCAAACTAAAAATACTTAGAGAACCAAATAACATCAAAATATTACGATAAAACCCACTACTTACTATTAATTTTGTTTGTTATTCATCTAACACAATAATAACAATAAATTAATTATCTTATATGGTAAAACAACGCTATAAAACATCAATTTAAGTTGAGAAAAATAGCAGTTTTGGATACATTATACAATGCGTGACAAAAGAATAATAAATTGTATAGTAATTTTAATTATAAATAAACTATAAAAAATAAACCTTTGAATAATATAACTGATAGTAAATTTATTATATATTTTATGATTGATTATAACAATAATTAAAACAATAATTATTAAAACTAAACCAAATAAACACCAATATGAATATAATTAAATTGAGCCAAACATGAACAGCCTTGATTATGCTTATTCGTTTTTCATTTGCGACTTTCTCCTTCTCTTGTCTGTCGTTGATTTTTGGATTGATTTTGCACCAGACAAAACGATGTTTCCGTACAAGTCCTTTCTGATGTCGACATCACATTTCATGATTGAGTTGTAAATTGTCTCGTGGATACATGTTGTTTCCATAACAAGGAATGATGGCAAGAAGAGTGCTTTTGGTCATCTGAATCTCTCGTTTCCAATGGTGATGACTTCACCATTTGATAGTTAATGTGATTTTTTGAGTTCTGATGATGTAGCTGATTTTTGCATTTTTTCGTCAAAATAAATGCAAGGCGGCAAAGTTATTTATAGTAATAAATAATTATTTATTTTTTGAATTTTTATTCCAAATATAATAAGAAATTTGTGTTATTTCACATGATTATTTAATGTTGATTTACTATATTTATTGGAATTTCAAATGTTTTTATTGGATATAAGGATTAAAAAATGATAATTTTTGATTATAAATTGGTTTGCACATTGTTGTTTAAAATAGTGCAACTTGAAACTATAAATCTATTTATAACAAATCTTGAAATATCAACTCAATTATCGTGTTTATTCAAATTTATATCTTTTTTCTTTGTTTCATCACAAACTTTTTTGTTTATAGCAAGTAAAATTGTTATATGTAAGATTTAATTAGTACTTTTAATTAATTTAAACCATTTTATTGTTTAGCAATCTTCAAATAAAAAAACACCAAAAATGTTTTTTGTATTTAATTTGTTAAAATAGTATTCATTAATTAAAAATTACTATAAATGTCTTGCTTGAAGTAAAGTTTTGAACAAAACGGGGTAACCTTAATGTATTTATTTTTAAAATTAGGAACAAAAAATCTATTTAAAAACACAAAACACAATTCGTTACAAAATCAATCAAATAAACAATACATTATAAATTATCTAATATTTTTAACTATAACTGTTAATAATATTATAAGTCACAATTGTTTGCCTATTTTTATTGATCCATTGTCGTGGAATAAGAGATAGTCGTTAATTTAAAATATTCTTTAAAATTATCTATTTTAAAACAAAAATTTTTATCGTATTTTTGTTATTTGGTGTGTTTAAATAACATTATTTTGACATTATTGTCATTTGAAAAATAATTATTATTTTATTATTATTATATTATTATTTTAGACTTTATATTATTAATGGTAAAATAATATTAGAAATATAGTTTGTTATCAATTCTAACATCCAAATAATTTAAATTGTTATCTATATAACAACTACATCAATTATATCACATGTAATCATTTTATTGATCATTCACTAAACCAGTGTGTTTCTGTTTATATAAATTAAATGCTTATTTGTTTTGTTTTAATTTAAACTATATGTTTTCAGTCAAAACGCGCTAAATTACAAACACTATGTATCTTCCACAATGATAACATTATAAAAAGGAATGATTATATCATTTTTATTATAATTATACATAAAATACAGTACTGTCTTATTACACAACATTGTTATATCAATGTGATTATTTATCACTTCGATGACATCACGTTGGAGTAAAGATATGATTGTTGATGTGTTATTGTGTCAAAATTATGTTTGTTGATTGTAACTATTATATATAACAATTATAATTATAAAACTATTATAAATAACATGATAAATTATTAATAATATATTAATTTATTTTATTAAAAATTATAGTTTAAAGTGTCAACGTTGGTATATATCAAGATGTCTTTACACTTGTGTTTTTCTTTGTTTTTCATTATCTCTATACATTTACCTTAAGTTTTTTGTTTGTTGCCCAAATATGCATATTTTGAAAATGAATAAACAGTGGCTGCAAAATAAACAATTGTTTACCAAATACAAATCTTTATATTCTAAATAGATTGCATAAAACACGTTTTGCCTTTTGTTTTTGTTTGAAAATGATAAAAAATTCAAATTACAAACAATGAGTTTATATCTTGCTTCCTCGACAGTGGCACGACGTGAATTTCGACGAGTAATCACAAAACCTCGTGGTGATCAAAGTTTATACAAACGCGACTACTTTTATTGTTTAAGTTGTTTTTATAAATTTTTCTCGATTTTGCGATTTTTGATACTTTTGAAAATGTATTTTAGATATTTTTTTTGTTTATTTTACACTTATGTTCTCTAAGATTTATTTTTCAAAGTCGGAACAAACAAAAGTGTCTTTTCGTCTTATCTTATTTCTTTTACAAAAAATAGTAAAACCCAATTTTTAATTTATTGTATTTTTCAAAGTTTACAAAAAAATCTATTTATTTTCCCTTGTAATTGTTTTTGAGATCAATTGTATATTGAAATTTCAAGAAACCTCAAAGTCTATGCTTTATTATTTTTTCTTTGTTATTTTATGATGCAATTGATTTTGAATATTCCATACCAGTATGCTATATGATGCAATTTGGTCTTTGTTATATTTTATAATTAATTTTATTATCGTAATTGGTTGTGGTCATCTCAATAAATGTTTGATCTGACTTTTCCATTGAACTGTGACTTGTTTCTGAAAAGATCAAGCAAAAAAGTGAACCTTTGTTCGTCCCCATTTCAACAAAAGGTTCACTTTTTTACTATAATTTCTAACAATTTACTATAAAATTTACTATAATTTTCGTTCCAGGGTGTCTAGTTTTTTTGAAAAAAAAAATAAAGAAAAAAGGTCACAATTACATTATAATAGACTAAGATTTTTATTATTTTACAAATTATGATTTTTCCCGTCCTCGAAGGATTAACTTTATTTAAAAAATAAAAACAGTTAACATACATTCATTTCATTATTATGCACATCGAATTTCATATATTGCGTTGACTAAACTCTATACAATTTACCATTAGCAACAAGTTTTATTGTCTAAATTGACGATATATTGAAAACATATAATAAGATTATAAACAATTATTATTATTATTATATTAGGTCATTTTTAATGATCATCTCATAGTATGAAATTGAAGATGGCATACAATACAAATTAATACTGTGCACAGTTGAGTGGTGGTCAAGTTTGTAGAAATATATTGGGT